CCAAATCAATCTCAGCCGCTCAAATAATCTGCCCTTCGATCTGGTTGCGCCACGTCAGCAGGTATACCGAGCACTCAGTACACCGCGCCACACCCGATCGTAGGCCACTCAATCCTGACCGTCCGATCAACTTGGAGATCAAACGAATCACAGCCGCACGATCTGTTCATCCAAGATCCAGCGGTTCACAGCCTTCAGACGCAGGAGTGCACCATACACTCGTCCACACCAGATCAAAACCCAGAGCTTCTCTCTCCTCTCGCCGGCGATTCTCTCTCTCTCCGCCGATCTCCCATTTCCGGCCGTCTCAAGCCGTGAAACCGCCACAGAATCGTGCATCGACTCCACCTGAGCAAAACACCGGCAGTTTCACACTTTTGCACCGGCTAAGGATGCATGTTATGGGAGAGGAGAGAGGAAAAAGAAAAATAAATAAATAAAGACCATAAAGTCACTTCAAAATTTTAATTACAACCTCATTAATACCATAAAAAAATATCAATAATAATAAAAATATCAATAATAACTTGAGCATGACGCATTTGTTGTGAAAAAATGAATGGCTACAAGACTCTTGACACACATCTAAATTTTTATTATAATATTATTAGTGCTGTGAAAAAAAAATCTTTATAGGATAAATTTAAATTTAATGATATCAAAAAAATATCATAAATAGTTATCCATACAAATCATTTTTGTCATTCAAAGATGAATGATGGGTTAATTATTTTTAAAAGCAAATGTGACTCACTAAAATCACTGGTAATAGCATTAATTAATATTGTTGGATACAACTCATCAAATTTTTTTTTATTAATAACAATAGTATCATAAAAGATTCAGTTTGTTTTTAAAATCTTTTTTTTTATAATTTTATTTTTATCTCTAACATCTCATTGTTATAATTTATGTAGAAAAAACAAATATCACAATTCTCATGTAACTTGATTTTAAATTCGGGTTAGTAAAATAGTTGGGTCATAATTTTTTAAATTTTAATTATTATCAAATTTAACAACAATTCCACAGAAAATTATAACAATTTAAATATTATTTTTTCACAAGCCATAACAATAACACATATTGTAACCTAGTTCCGTTTAAACAGTCATTTTTCTTCGTTCCTACTCGGTAAGAAAAAGTCACGAGACACTTTCCCCCTTTACATGCTATAAAAGCAATAGATAATCCTAGATTTAGAATTTCTTATATTTCATAACTTAATTTAGATATTGTTTGTTTAGTGGGAAGTAATTTTTTAAAAATTATTTTTTAAATTTTTATTAGTTTGTTTCTCATTATAAAAATTAGTTAATGAAAAATACTTTTTAATCAAAAAAATTTAGCTTCGTTTTTAGAAAAATATCTTGTTAATTGTAACAAATTTGATTTTTAAAATTTTGATTGTTATATATATTTTTTATTTTTTATATTTTATCCCTTGAAATTTAATTTATTTTTATTTTTAAATTAGCTTTGATTTTTATTTTTATGATTATTATTTGCTTTTCTCTTACTGCTTTTTTAATTAAAATTTTTTATTTATCAAATTTAATCCTTATTTTTTTAATTATTATTTATTTTATTTGAAATAATTTATGAAATTATAATTATAATTATTTTAATTTTATTATATTATAATTTTTTTATCTGTTAGATTTGATTTTTATTATTTTGATTGTTATTTTTTTAAGATAGTTTATAAAATTATTTTTTCCTATTTCATTCTCATTTAACCTTTTAATTTTTAAAATTTTTTATTATTATTTTAATAAATTTTTAAAAGATATTAATAGGTTATGTTTTAGCTTATTTTTCATGATATAATTAAATACTAAAAAAATATTTTACAACTTGTTTTTTATAACACTACTAAATATAAAAAAATAATTTACTTTATAAAAATCTATTTTTCCAAAATTTTACTTTTAAAAAAAATTACCTCCCACCAAATAAACGGCCTTATACTGAATCTCTTTTCTTCCACCGGCCTGCATGCCAACATTTTCCGTTTCTTTGCTAAATAGTCCCATGCTTGCAGCCAAGAGTTAATAACTCAAGAATATTCTCAATTAGCTTAAAAAATTATTTCACCTTTCTCTCTTCAATATTCTTTATTAATGTTAGTTGTAAGCATGGATATTTTTTTATACTAGATTGAATTTTTTACTTAATTTTATATATTTGCACTTGTCTTTTATACTCAATCGATTTTCAAGTCTTTTTCACGTCTCAAGATTCACATAACATATATTTTTTTCTATTTATATATAAAAAATAGAAATTTTTAGAGATAAAACTTAACCTCGAAAAAAAACCTAAAATTGCCTCTTTTAAGATTAAATTCTACCCTTTAAAAATAAACACATTTGGACATTAAAAAATGTTTAAGTACCACAATGAAAAAATTGCCACACTTGGGCTTTGCCTCTTTTAAAAAAACATAACGTGGGCCATTAACCCATGTAACACACACGACCCGTGACTACCAAAAAAACCCATCGACTTGCATTCGAAAGCAGCAGCTGGTGCTAGAAAACAGATAGATCGCGAGAAAGAGAGAATCCAAGAGACCCAGAGACAGAGAGCAGTTACTCCCGTCTTCTGAGATCTAGCCATTAGTTTGCCCTTTTCGTTTCGGATCGGGAAAAAGGGTATGCTTTGTAATTTTCTCTTTTTTTTTAAAGTTTGAGAGTCTTCAATCGTGATAGAGATCGTAGATCCATATAATCAAAACATACAATTGCATCGAAGGTTTTTCTTTTTTCTATTTTCGTCTTTTTAATTCATGTTAAGCTGTATTCACGTGATTTTGAAAGGAGGAAAGTAGGTCTGGTATATAATTCATGACATGGTGATTAATAAATAAAACAGTACGAATAAAAATCACAATTGATCGCATAGCGGAGTGGATATCGCGTTAGACTCCGAATCTAAAGGTCGTGGGTTCGAATCCCACTGTGATCGGTTTCCCTTTTCTTAGTTTTTCCTTTTTCATTGTATTTTTTTCTGTGAATTTTATGATTATGAAATCTGGATTCCCATAATGGGAAATTGCATTCTATTGCCTGAAATTGCTGACCTGTTGCAAAAGGTTACAATTTGTTTGACTGAAGCTTGCATCTCTAGTGTACTATGGAAGTGGTAAATGGTGCTCGAGATTGTCTTGGTTTAGCACTGGGTTTGCATTGATGTCATTGTAGGTTTGATGTTTTAACCTTGTTGAGTTGATACATCTTGAATTTGTGCAACCTGCTGTGAGCATATAAATTAGCAATTACAGGTCCTATTAACAACAGGAAGTTATCAGTGTGAATTTAGATGCTGTAGGGTGATTGGAATAAGTCCTTATTAATGGATGCAGTGCCTCTACATCAACATGGGAAAATGTGTTGTAGTTTGTCGGAGAAATGAAATGTGCGCACATCTGAATTGAAGCTAATAAATCTGGGTTCGAGTTGTGCACAAGTGACTCTGAGTAACAGAAACCATCCTTAATCTTAACTGAAAGAATTTGAAATGCATTTTGTCTGGTATTTCCATCAACCGATAAGGAATGTGTCATGTTACCAAATAGACCAAGCTAATGGTGATTGTGATGGGGTTTGATTTTAAGTTGCCAATTTTGATTCGCAGGGCGTAATTGAATGAAAGTGAAATGATGACCGTGTCATTTCCACTCATGCATGTGTGTATTTTTGTAATTTGTAGTTTGTCTTCAGTGTTTTTTTTTGTGTTGACTATGATCCCTCTTGTTCACCATATGCTTGCATTTCCAGGCTTCCTTAGACTTCAATAGGAAATATAACCATCTAAATGGGGCTTGAAAGGCCTTTTTTACATCCATTTTCTAAGACTCCCTTTCAGTTTTCTTTCTGGTAGTAACACAATAAGCTGAGAGGGAATGGAACCAAATAGTGATTACTCCATGTAGGATTTTGAATTCAGTGTCCTTGAGGTTGTTAACCTTGTAAGCATAGTATACAGTCTCTTTCGTTAAAGTCAGATAAAATTGCAAACACATTGTTATCAATTTTTTGTGTTACTGATAAATTTTCCCTTTATTTGTGCTTCTGCAGATGTTTGATGATCAAGATCTGGGTTTTTTTGCCAATTTTCTTGGCATTTTTATATTTGTTCTGGTGATCGCATATCATTATGTGGTGGCTGATCCAAAGTACGAAGGCAACTGAAACTTGTGCTGTCCACTCTCAAATAAGTGTCCAAGTGATAGTCAGACTGTCAATTTTGTTTGCTCAACCACAGTGAAAGGTTTGAATAGATTGTTGCAGCTCCTTGATGTTTTCAATTTCTTTTTGAGGTTTTAGAATATTTTAGAACGTTGTTTGTGGCAAAGATGAGGATTAATATGTTTGAGATTACCAGTGTTTTTACACTGATGTAATTCTATAATAAATTCTTCAAACTTGTACGGGTGCAGAGTAGGTTAAAGCGAGGTTGGACTGGCTTACGCTATAATGAAATCCCCTGAGAGGTATAAATGAACAAAAAGCTAAATCCAAGCAAAAGATACATTTAGTTTTATTAGAACCTCTCATTGCAACTCGTGATGAATCAATTTAACACCACCAAAAATGAAACTCCCATTTATCAACAAAAAAAGAAAGGGAAAAGCAATAGATGATTGAGTTGGAAATTAAATTTCAATGAGGTAATCTGAGATCAATGGCTAAATATATCTTGCTTGATATGATTTCAAGGAAGAAACAGCGAATCCAAACATGTAAAAAAAGAAAGAAAGAAATCAACCAATTAATCCCTATACAAAGCTTAGTAAAATGGTAAGTGAAAAATAAGAAGAACATCATTGAGTAACTCATCCAACAAAAAATAAAAACAAAAATCATTGAGTAACAAGGAGGAACTTAGAGAAACGAGTCATCCCACCACCAGTGGAAATCGATGCATGAAGGAGCTGCCGGACCAATACAGCATGAGAATTTTGGAGAGAAGATTCACCCAACGTAAATAGTTGAGCGAAAGATTTTCATGTTTCTTTAAAACAATATTAAAGGGGAGGTGAGACAAAGAAAATAGATGAGTTTTAGCTGTGATTATGGTTTTTATTTGTGGCTTTTTGAGTATTTGGTAATGTTTTAAAAGCTAATGTCACAATTCTTTTTACGTATTATTTTTTCAAGGTACAATTTATCTATTTTTCTAATAGCACTCTTAAAAACCATAACTTTTCCGAACCAATCTTAAATCTATAATAGAAGAAAGTAGCAAAGACGTTAATATGTCCTGGAATGCACTTGCTATGGAGGTGTTATTTAGAATTGCATTTCAAATAATTTTTTATAAAAAATTAAATTTTTTTGTTTAAATTTTTTTATATATACTTTTTAAATCATTTTGATATAAAAATAATATTTTAATATACTTTTAAATAAAAATTAATTTTAAAAGCAATCATTCCTATGCAACTCCAAATTGAACAGAAAAGCAATATATATTTTTCTTAATGTAAATTTTATTCTTTCCAAGTCCAGTCTCTTGACCGAAAAAGGAAAATGTCCATCTAGGGGGAGGCTACACACTATCATAAAAATAAGTCGAGATCATACAGTCATCTTGTGGCTGTAGTTTAGTGGTGAGAATTCCACGTTGTGGCTGTGGAGACCTGGGCTCGAATCCCAGCAGCCACACAATTTTTAACGATGTTAATCGACACTCGCAATTTAATCCCTATTCTTTTTTCATTTCCTGTTGAGAGAGTGGCAGTTTAAATTATCATTCCATGTCTTTGAAACTTGGAAGGGTTATACGAGGTTATTACATTACTGTAGTGTTTAATATTGTTGCCTTTTGCTATCCCTTGAACCTGTCTACTTCCGTCCTTTCTTTCTCCGGTCTATCGATAAATGCTTGCGAGTAACCACCGGAGCACAAAAACATCATTATTTTATAATGAAACAATGATTCCGAGTCTTCTCAGTCGAGGATGACAGTGGAGCTGGAGGATGTCTAATTCGTCTCCTTCATGCTCAAGACATGTCTTTGTTGGAGACCTTTTTAACGGCATTTCTCTATCTAGTAAATACATGAACCGTGAAGAAATAAAATATTTTTATATTTATCAAATAATAAATTTATTAAAAATTAATTTGTTTTAGATACATATTTTAAAAAATTAAATCATCTCTGCATATATTTAAATAATAATAATAAATTAATATAATAGTTTTAAGCTAGGCCCTCCAGGAGGGCAATACCCAATGTCTAGCTCCGCCACAAGTAATATATACTTTATGACCTTTCTACCAAAAGACAGATCCATGATCTCTCATGGGGCCCAAATAGTCATATATGGGCTGGGATAGAAAGCCCAATACCTTCCAGTGGGATTTCCAGTCAACCAGAGTAAGTAAACGGACATATAGCAAATAATCATCGAATGCCTCTCGCGTTCCACTTCCGTGACGTCCACAGAGAGCGTGTCACAGTGAGCCACAAAGAGCTATCTACTCTCGCTGTTGAGATCTAGTTAGTAGTCACTCTTTTAGCCTTCTCGCATCAGATCAGCTGAAAAGGTATGTTTGATTACCTCCCTCTTACTGCAATTTCGGTTTGCTTTGTTCTCCAAATCTTAGTCCTTTGCACCGAATATTACTCGATGAGAGGGAATTCTCACTAACATAATTGGAAATTGCGTTTGATTGTGGAAAGGAAGTGGCCTATTTAGAAAATTTACTCTCTGAATTTGGATCTCTATTGTAGAATCTAAATGCTACTCTATCGGATTTGTGTATCTTGGCAGTTCTCTTTTGGGTTTATACTTCACCTAGCATTGTTTGGAACTTTGAAACGTAGTACATGGTGGTTTGTTTCCTTGGTTTTCATAACTAGGCTGGAATTTTCTTATTTTCAGACTGTATACGTTTCTTTGTTTTATCATCAATCTGTTGGTTGAAATGGAATGTGATATGATATCCCAATAACGCTATAAAGTTAGTTGAGATTCGAGGGAAATAAATTTGTTGTTTATTTGAGTTTCTGGAAATTTTGTTACGGGGGCCAAGGACACTGTCACGCCTTGAAGGATAAGGGGGGTGTTTAGGAGTGTGGTATAATGCTTTTTTTATTTTTTAAAAAAATTATTTTTAATATCCGTAGATTCAAATTATCCGAAAACATCCAAAAAATATTAATCTAAAGCAAGGAATTTTTTTTTCAAAATACTTTAAAACACAAAAATAAATAGGCTCTAAGTTTTGATTGTACTGCTTCAAATGTTGAAGGGAATTTCGGTGCAACTGTATCTGCCCCGCGGGACCTTCGTGCCAGGAAGTCATGGGAAGTTTCCTGCTTAACAAATAGCTGATGAGCATGTCTGGCATTTCTTTTACTATTCCTATCAATCCAGGCTAGAGAGTAGCAGTGTGAATTTAGGGACTGCCTTTGTGATTAGAACAGGTAACAGTGTTGATTTAAGGAGGAAAAGAAATATGCGTGCTTGGCAAAGCTGTGACTATTCAAAGTGAAAACCAGGATAGGTCGAGAAGATGTCCTTTTTTGTTTCTTTTTGTTGGCTTTGCCCGCTTGACTACTATGCAGTTTTGAGTTGTATGCAAATCATTAAGTTGAATGTTAGATAACTTACCTTTGTCTAAACGAAATGAATCTCTAATGCATTTCATTCTGGGCTGATCTTAGTGATGAGAATTGTTCCATGATAACCACCTAGTACTGGGTAGCAGCATTGCCGTTGGGATTTAATTAAGATTTGGCAATTTTAATGTGCGCAGTGATTAAATGAAGAAGTATGCATGGCTTTTTGATTCATGTTTTTTTTTTTCCATAACTCATGGCTTGTTCTATGTTGTTGCTTTCTATTAAGCCATCTTGTCAACTATACGTGGGTATTTCTGGGCTTGGTAAGATCATAACAAGAATTTTAATATTCTTTAAAGACCTTTAACATGCTGCAAATACATCCATCTGTCCTTTGAAGATGAAATAAATTGCAACAATAGATCTCCCCCTTTCAGTGATCTCCTCTAGAGTAAAAGCATTACAGCTGAGAGGGAACGAAATTTAATGCATACTGGGTATTGAGCTCACACCATACCTTGGGTTTTCAATCATGTTAGCAGTAGGACAGCCAACTGCATTTCTTTTAATGTAACAGAGTGAATTTTAGTCTTGACATTGTCAATTGTGGTTGTGTTACTGATGCATTTTGCTCTTATTCATGCTTCTACAGATGTTTGATGATCAAGACCTGGGATTTTTTTCCAATTTTCTTGGCATTTTTATATTTGTTCTGGTGATAGCTTATCATTATGTGATGGCTGACCCAAAGTATGAAGGCAGCTGAAATTGGTGGCGTTGTACACTCAAATAAGTGTCTGAATCATAGTCAATCAGTGTGAATTCGTGTAGTTTGATCATTATGAAAGTTTAAAATAGAACATTTCAGGCAAATTCTCTAACGCTTCAAACTTTTTGAGGTTTTGGAATGTGAAGTTTGTAATGGCAGGGATTTTGGGAGAAAATCATTATCTCCACCATGCCGCGTAACTCCATGTGCCAAATCATATTTTATCATCATTGGTGACAAAACTCGCATCCCTCCCTTTATATTTTAATGTTTGGTTAAATGCTACATCTTAATTTATATTTTAAATTATGAGGTGAAATTTTAAAATATAATTTATATTATTTTTTAAAAATATTTTTTTAAATAAAATTTTTTGAAACATAAAATTTACATAAATTTATATTGCTTTATACTTAATTTTTATTAAATAAAAAGAAATAAAGAGATCAGAATTTATAATTGTTTACTCATTAATATTTTGATATCATGTTAAAAATTTATTTTATTTTAATAATTTTATTCTAATAATTTAAGTTGCTATTTATATTATTTTTTAATATATCCTTTCAAACCAAAGTTTTTTTAACATAAAATTTATATGAATTCATATTATTTTATATTTAATTTTTATTAAATAGAAAGAAATGATGAGATTAGAATTTATAATTGTTTAGTTATTAATATTTTGATATTATATTAAAAATTTATTTTATTTTAATAATTTAAGGTAGATAAAATTTGAAGAAGGTTATGTTTACAGGGTCATGTCAACGAGGTCTTGCCAATAAAATTAACGAGATAGTTATAAACCCCCTTCAAATTAGAGTGTTCTTGGTTTGCAGGAGTTGATTTATATATATGACACCAAAAAGTTTTGAAATGCTGGGAATTCCCTGCGGCATTATCGCCGAATCCATTATAGCTTCCAAGCATTAAACACGTTTGTGATAAGAACCCGGTGTTGAACAGTATAGGTGGTAGCACGAACTACATGCTTCATTATATATATATATATATATATATATATATGAAGTAGCTTTTGCTTTTTAGAGGAAAAAACATATTTTTATAGTTTTTAGAGGTGTGATGTGTCTTAAAAAATATTGTACCTTTAACAAAAAACCACCACACCTCCACCAAACACACCTCCACCAAACACACCGGAAAGCTACCATCTATACTGTTCAACACCGGGTTCTCAGGGAATTCCCAGCATTTCAAAACTTTTTGGTGTCATTCGAAATTAAATCTCCATCTGATTTATTAACAAAAAAGATACATGTAAAAAAAGTACCACATGGTCATTTATCTTTTTTTTAAAAAAATATTTTTATAATAAATAATGTGAGATTTTTTTTTCATTTTTATATATTTTTTTTTATTTATTGTTAATTTTCAAATCGCGATCATCATTCATTCTTTTCAATCACACACAGTAAAAACGTGAAAAATGGTCTCACGGATACAAAAAAATATTCCCTCTCAGTCCAATCTTAATTAATTAATTTCACACACTATTAATTTAATCTACTAATAATCTAAACATAAATACGAGAGCCGTTGATTATAAAACAAACCACCCGAAAACCCGAAAACAAAGACGAAACACCCAAAAACAAAAACCCGACAAAACCCAGGGCAATCGCAATACCTGACTGCACACAGAACGGCTTGTTATCCGTACACGCGTCTTTCATTGTCCTAGCCATTTCCGTGCCGGTTGAATTCGCTGACAATAACAGGTACGCAAACACCTGCACCACGCACACACCATCAAAACTCTCTCGCTCACTTCCAAGATGATTTAAACACACGTGCATACATACACGGACGGACGGAGGGATACGAATACGTTTACCTGATCATGGCCGAAATCGAACCAGACTTGGCAAATTTCAGGGAAGAGCGTGGCGTTTCTTGAAATTTCCCAAACGGCGGCAGACATTTCGAATAGAGAGTAAACGGCGACGATCGCATTCGCAGCAAAAACGTATCTGTCAACATTTTTAAGTCATTTTAGGAAAGAATTTTGATAAAATTAATTTTACTCTTCTCAGACACGCAGAAATCGTGAGGAAGTAGTTGGGTCAAATGGTCAAAAAGAGAATTTTCAAACAATTTTGGACTTCCTAAAAAAATCACGAAAAAGCAAAAAGCGGGAATAGATAATTTTTTTTTATAAAAAAACTGAATCTAGAGCATTGGAAGAGACATCCCTTTTGATTCTTACACTTCCTTTTTCCTCACGAACCAAATAGGAATTTACAGCAAAGAAAAGAGCTTAAAAGAGAGAGAGAGAGAGAGAGTAGTTTGAAATCTGTGATATAATATGTACATATACCTGAAAGCGTCAAAATTGTACCAATGGAAGGAATCAGATCCTCTAGAGTTAGTGAGCATGAAAACAGCAGAGGCAAGAGAGAAACAAAAGGCAGAGAATCGAAAAACAAGAATGAGTGAGTTGAAGCGTTTCAGCTTCTGTAAGGAGACGGTGGAGTGGAAGTGTTGCTGGGTCTCGCCGCCGTTACGGTGGGGCTGTGGAGCCCGCATAATTCTTGATGATACAGCTGGTAATTATTCTGCGGTCAGAGAAACAGGGAGGATTCGTGAGAGAGGAGGGGTGAAAAGGGTCGTTAGGTATCGAGTAGTGAAAGGAAGATATGGAGAATTTTGAGGTGGGAGTTTGAGATTGAGAGGAGGAGAGTTGTTGAAAGTCACGGGACATGACATGGGGTTTCAATGTTTCATGGGATTTTTGAGAGAAAGAGGAGTGAAAAGATTAAAAGAAAGCAAGAGGTGATTTAATGTGAGAGGAAGGAGAGTATCGATTGAGTGGGGTTATTTATAAAAGATTGATGAGAATTGAGATCAACAGTAGAGAATAATGAGTCAGTCATGTTTTAAGGAGAGATTAGAGAGAGTTTTCGTTTGCTAATTTTGTTCAGACAAGAGAGAAGGGAATAAATAAAAAAGAGGTAGATGAGTTGAGAGTTTGCTTCATCGCTCTCATTCTTCTTCTTTTCAACGGGCAAACATCTTTTCGTCTCGAAATCCTGCTCGCTTTTTTTTTTTAAAAAAAAAAACAAATCTTTTGCTGATTGATTTACATTATAATAATTCCCCACTCTCTTTAGTCAAAGCGTGAGCAGTAAAGCACTGCCTCATTTTCCCATCTGATAATCATCAAGTCAATATTCCAGACATCTTGGTTTTGCATATTCACACAGCCATTGACTTTGATTTTTCTTTGTTTTTGTAATTGGCTCTGGACAAGTCAGCTTGATATTTTTGGGTCAGCTCATGGGGGGTTGTACTATCCATTTTTTATTGGATGCAGTGAATTGGTAAATTCAATCAGTTTAAAGCTCTCTTGTTGTGGTGACAAGTTAGAAAAATGTCATGGTCATTTGCAAGATGGATTTTATTTTATTTTCATTTCTCCGAGAGAACGAAATCTCGGCACCTAATAATTTATTTGCATACCCATGGGTGTGTGTTTTAACTTCGAGACTCGCCGAGCTTGAACAGCATGCAGGCCGCTTGCTTCTGGTACCTGACCAATTGATTAAGGTTTTGATGCATTTGTAGTCTGTCGCATGGCGTTGGTAACTTGCATAGCAAAGGATATATTGCAATTGATTTAGTTTTGGAGACATGTTAGGTGAGCTTGGTTGGAATGTTTTTCTGATGTGAATAAAGAAGAAGAAGAGGTAATCCGCATTCTTGCTAATTATTTGGAGATTAGCTAAGCACGGCCCACGGGAATCATAATTAATACGCACGTTGAAAATCTAACATGTGGCCGGAATCCAGTGAGTGAATTTCTTTCAACAGCCGAAGTGGTAAGCCAAATGGCATAATTACGGACACCGCAGAGTTTGAACCTCTTGCAGGACAATTCATGAACTCGAGTGCAAGATAACTTCAAGAGTAGACTCATCGGATGTCTTTCCCATAAAAAGCTCATCTGACGTCTTATTTCCAATAGATGCTGTGGTCTCCTTCCCTCCCTCTCAAAAACCAGTTCCACGCACAAAACGCATTAACTTCATCCTAACAACAACTGGACCGACCGCAGGAAATTCAAGCTAGGAATTGAATTTATTTCCACTCCTAGGAAGACATTTCATAGTCTGGAAATTGTTACCGAATACTACCATATCTTCTTTTTTTCATAAATAAAATAAAATACAAGGGGCGGTGTTAAGCAACGGGAGTTTGGATTTTCAGCTATAATTTGCTAAGAACATTTTTTCTAGCAACTACTCCAATAACTGTGGACACAGGAGCCAAGGCTCCCTGTCTTGAAAGCCAGAATTCAGTCCACGTCAAAGGCCTGGTAACCTGGACCAATACCTTCTGAAACTGTTCCTCCAGGTCCTCCAAGGAGCCAGACTTGTCAATGACAATATTAGCCTATGACCTTTTCAAATCCAGGGACATCTGCGCGTTTATTCTATTCCTGGCATCTTCCTCGTTGATTCTGTCTCTTGCCATGAGTCGCTGAAGCTGTGTTTCAGTGTCAACCATACAACAGTAATGGGTTTTGTCCACTTGTCCATCTTGGCTTGGAACAGCAAAGGGATGTCCAAGTCAATTTACCTTATACACCTTCAACCATAAACTCAAAATTTCTCAAAAGATGCCAGGGGATATATAAGGAGCCAAAAGCCTGAAAGAATACAATAGCCAACCATAAAAAGGCATGTAAAGTGCAACTTTTGTGACATTGTTTGATAGAACGCCATCTCAACCAAGAATGCCCCGGAAAAATTTAGGCAAGGCCATTAAAGTTTTTTTTGGGGCATAATATCCCAGATACAAAGAAATGACGAGATTAAAAGCTTGAGATTTAACTTGGACATATAATCACATGAATTAGAAATTCACGGGTGTGACTTCACAATTTAAAGGAAAAAGGATATACAACAATCCGCGTCAGGAATGAATGCGAACTGAATTTACTACAACATGCATGCCATGAACATCATGTATGAGCTTCTTAAACTAAACTTAGCTCATTTTTATCCATCTACTAACGATATTTTTCTGTCAACAAGCAACGAATTTGGTTCTTGTTTCATTTTATAGACAAAAGAAAACCAATGCAAACTATGATATTTGCATGATTCCTCAAATCATACATCTACAACTCTAGCCAAAAGAACGAGCTCTTTCTCCGAGAAATTTAATATATTCTTTCACGCACCAGTTGAGCCCATATAGCTTAGAGCATAGACAGTACGGTGGTGCGTGGAGGAGGTGGTGGTGTTGCCATTTGTTGTTGTTGTTGCTGCATATAAAAAAAATTAAGTATTTTTGGATCCTTGTATGTTTGTAAAAGAACAAACTCAAATGTGCTGGAGTTCCACCATAGTGTTTCAATGCAGTGTGACAATGAAGGAATTTAGTATAGGTCAACAGTAAGCGCTTTCACATAATCCAGGTCACTGGTCTATCGTGTAGGGCAATAGCAACTATCTCGACAAAGAATTGCAACTTGCAGGTTGGATCATGTTGGTCAGTTGTTTAAGTTGAGCTTGTTGCATGAAGCCAAACCAGCCACTAACCAAGATCGGCATGTCTATGCAGTAAAAAACAAATGAGCTGATAAAATGAGTCTAGTATGGATTTCCAATCCCAATTTTAAATGCGTGCCAAAAATGTTCTGAAGAGCATGTGTGTTGATCAAGTAGTGAAAGGTTCATAGCATCTAAATTCAATATTGGAGACAAGGAAAAACGGGTATAGAGCAGCACCTAGTTCCCCGGTACTAAACAAAAAACCATACCCCAACCAGACTCCTGCTGTTTTTAAATTCAAAACAGAAGTCTTGGGAGCAAGTCTTTAGCTTCTGTATTCAGTTTAAACTTAAAAGCGTCCACATTCTCATGTCATCCAACTCAGCATCTCAATTACTGAAAAAATTTGCATAAAAATTCAACAAAGCACACCCAACAAGCTCAAAACTCTTAGACCAGATTTCAAAACAAGACAGTGAAGCTGGTTTCCATATACAGACCCCACATGAGCACAAACACTTGATACAGTATAAAATGTAATCTCACTGAGTTTGATTTACCGAAAGTAAAGAAAGACACCATCGAGCTTGCCCCCATTTGAATAGCTAAAAATCGTAGTGTTCCACGAAACAACAGTACGTACTGGCATTTTATCGAACAGGAAGAGAGCAATGCCTAGTATGTCAATATTTGGCACGCGTGGTCATTGCAATGTTTGTAGAAACTATGTAAGGGGAATGGGTTTTTGGTGTTTGGTAATGGGTCTTGGTTTCTCTAAGAGCACATTTAATATTCACTTTATTTAACAGCAAAAAAACTCCAAACAACAAAAACAATCGACAATATATCTACCAACCATTAAAATAGAAGTGGGTATTTAACAAATTATCCAATAAGGCTTCTTCAAAATAAGGTCGCAAACTTAAACCCCAGAACGTGAAAGAGGGAGGCTTACTTAAGGAGGATGACGAGGAGAAGTGGGATGCGTGGGAGATTTTAGCAGAGATATACTTGAGGACGACGGTGCTGAAATCTGACTCTAAGCCCGAGTAACGGTCGCCGGAGTGCAGGAACTTTGAGACTCTAGAGAGCCAGGGACGCTTGTCGGGGTTCATATTTAATGGTAAGGAGGCGTGAACTTCATCTTAGTCCTTATAAAGTCACCAATTTTCCATTTCCACCCTTGTATATTTAAAATCTACAAATCGCGCTCTTCTAGTGTTCAGAAGTTTCTGTGTTGTCCCTTACAATCAAAATCCCGTACGTTCTGAATTTGGTTGAGCTCATGGTTAATTGGGATTTAAGTGTGTTTTTTTCACACGTCTGGGGATCTAATGGGGGGACGAGAGACAAGATACTTATATGAAAAGGAATCAATCTTCTGTTGGTTATTTAACGGGAAGGGTAAAATTGGCTTCTAAAAACATATTGTTACGTTATAGTCTCGTGAAACTATAGGGAAATTTGAAATTATAAACTTAAAAGTGGAATATTTATGACACTATAACGTAAATATATATATATATATATATATATATATATATATAAAGA